GTGTGTGAAGGAGAGTCACTGCTGTTTCTGATGCCATGAATTGAAATTTAAGCAATTATATTTTAGCTTCAAAATCTTTCAGCACTTTTTGTGATCAAAAAGTAAGAGCTATTCAGTAATGTAATTGCCATTTTCATCTGGCAGATGTGAAGAAAATACAATCTTTTAGCAGAAAATAAAACATAACTGATAATTTTGTGATTATTGTTTGTTTGGTGGTGAAATTTATTCTGAGGAAGAGGCCAAGAAAGATCAATTGTGTTTCTCTGACTGGATTACCTTTGGCCTCATCTCTCACTGCAGGAGTGTCCATCCACCACAGCCGACAATGTCCTACGTTTTTGTGAACGACTCTTCACAGACTAATGTGCCCCTGCTCCAGGCCTGCATTGATGGGGACTTCACCTATTCCAAGCGGCTTTTGGAAAGTGGCTTCGACCCAAACATTCGTGACAGCCGGGGCAGAACGGGCCTTCACCTCGCTGCGGCCCGAGGGAATGTGGACATCTGCCAGCTGCTACATAAGTTTGGCGCTGACCCTCTGGCCACAGACTACCAAGGGAACACCGCCCTCCACCTTTGTGGCCACGTGGACACCATCCAGTTCTTAGTTTCCAATGGACTCAAAATTGATATTTGGTGAGTTTCTGGTGCCTTTGAAGCCAGGTCGATTCTTCCCATTAGTTGTTAGTGGTGCAGGCTGGGGTCTGACCCCCAGGTGATCAGTGGTAATGACGAGTTCAGGAAGGCTTCGAAGACTGGAGTGAGACCTCTGACTCCAAAACAATGAAAAAGAAACAAAACTGTGTGTGTGTGTGTGTGTGTGTGTGTGTGTGTGTGTGTGTGTGCGAGCACACGTGTGTGTACGTCTATGTGTGTGACACCGTAGCTGGTTTCGCTTAACTAATTGTAAAGTATAATTCGACAAGAAGAAGGATGAAGGCTGTTTTTATCTGCTTGTTCTAAACTCACAGGTAGCTCTCAAAAGCTCTAGTCTCTTATCTTCATTTTTTATTTCTTATTTTTAGATTTTCCCCAGCCGAGTATTTGTTGAGCACCCCTACCCCGCTCCAACCCTCCCGTGTCTCATTCATGAAATAAGTAGGTCAAGAGGCCACATAGTGTATGAAGGACAGGGCTGGGATTTGGACCTAGTTCCTCCACAGAGCTCATGTGCCGTCATTTGGTCTTTTGAATTGCGTCCTGGCGTCATCGTGGCTCTGGGGCCCGAGTCCTCTTCAGGCTGTTCACTTGAGGACACCATGGGGTTTGGTTGTGTGGGAAAGGCCAGCTCGTCTCAGTGCTGAGCTTGAACTGTTGGGCTGCAGGTTCTTGCTGCCCTGGTGCTCTGGGGCCGTGGCCACCTGGATGGGCCTGACAGCATATGTTTCTGTGACAGCAGGACAGATTGGGGCAGGAGCTGACATGATTTGAGGTCTGTTCTGTTCTTCCGATGCTCAGTGCTCAAGGCAGCTCTTTATTCTTAACCTTCTATGTCTGTGTATATAAACGTGTGTGTGCAAGTGTACATGAATATATGTGCACAGTGTGTACAAAGGCTGAGTCTAGAGACGTGTGCGTGTGCACATACATGTGTATCTATACCTGAATATATGTGCACAGTGTGTACAAAGGCTGAGTCTAGAGACGTGTGTGTGCACACATACATGTGTGTATCTATACCTGAATATATGTGCACAGTGTGTACAAAGGCTGAGTCTAGAGATGTGTGTGTGCACACATACATGTGTGTATCTATACCTGAATATATGTGCACAGTGTGTACAAAGGCTGAGTCTAGAGATGTATGCGTGTGCACATGCATGTGTGTATCTATACATGAATAATATACTCAATGTGTGCAATGATTGAGTCTAGAGTCGTAGGCGTGTGCACATACATGTGTGTATCTATACATGAATAATATACTCAATGTGTGCAATGATTGAGTCTAGAGTCGTAGGCGTGTGCACATACATGTGTGTATCTATACATGAATAATATACTCAATGTGTGCAATGATTGAGTCTAGAGTCGTAGGTGTGTACACATACATGTGTGTATCTATACATGAACATACTCAGTGTGTACAATGACTGAGTCTAGGACTGGGCTTTCCAATTCATCTCTGGGATGTTCTCCTTTTCCTTTTATTTACTGTCATTTGTTCTTTCTTTTTCCTGAATGCTCTTTTTTTTTTCTTTCTTTCCTGGAAGGAAAAATCCAGTAATTCACATGTCTGATTCCAGCTTGCTTGGGTCTGCTCTGGGTTTGACTTGTGAACCATTGGCCCACGCTGTCCTGGCTGACGGGGCACCAATGGGAGCTAGCCTTGTGGCGCGGTCCCTGCAATGACTTTGTTTTCGTGACCTTTTTCAGCAACCATCAAGGTGCCACCCCCTTAGTTCTGGCAAAGCGCCGGGGCGTGAATAAAGATGTCATCCGATTGCTGGAGTCTTTGGAGGAGCAGGAGGTGAAAGGCTTTAACAGAGGCACGCACTCGAAGCTGGAGACCATGCAGACGGCGGAGAGCGAAAGGTACGAGGACACAGTCATAGGTTTAAGTAGTCACCCAGCTGCTTTGTGTTCTCTTACTTCATATTTGTGCTGCGGCTTCAGGTTACAGTTGTAAAACTTGCCCTAAGTACCCGGTGACCACAGCCCCATAGCGTTTAGTTAGCTGTGCCACAGCGGCTGCGGCTGCGTTGGAGAAGAGACAATTGAAGGTAGGGGTGAGGGGAGGAGCTTCAAAATTTTAAGTATGGGTCACAAGAATGGGCTTTATTAGAGAGGGATAAGACAAGTTGGGTAGCATGGGGGGCAGGTGATCACTTCAAAGGAGGGTGGTGCAGCCCTGGGAACAAGCAGGAGGGAGAGAGATGGATTCTAAACACCGGCGGACTCATCAGTCATTGAAAGTGCCTTTGCCAGGCTCACACCTGTGATACTGGAAGGCAAGGCTGAGGCGGGAGAAATGCCACAAGTTCTAAGCCAGCCTGGGCTACATAGCTGTCCTGACCCGCAGGACGTCAACCTGGGGCAAGAGAGTCAGGGATAGGGCATGGGGACAAGAGACGCAGAAAGAATGACCACAAGACAGGATTCTGATCAACTGGCCAACTTACTTTTCTCAGGTTAGCTTATATAGTCAGGATATGGGGAGGGGCAGAATGGGTTGTTTGTGCACCAGGTGTTGGTATAGGCAGGATATTAGGAAGCCACAAAGAGGATGTTTGGCAGGGTAAAGAGTTCATGAGTAAGAGGTCCTGGGAGGGTTGCCTAGGTGGCTGAGCCTGTGGGTGGAGGACTGGGTCAAGTTGTTTCTTTTCTTGAGCTGAGGTTCTAAGGAGCTGCTGTGTAAAGGTTAACTATGTGGCCTGCCAAGCATGGCCTAGGATCTCATGCCAAGCCCTGAGATTTGGCTCCCAACATATTTTGTGGGTGCAAAGATGCAAACTCCAGTCCTCATGATTATACACAAGTGCTCATAACTCAAACAAATGAGAAAAAGTAGCTGTAACATGAGTTGGAAGTAACGAGATTTGGGCTCCTCTGTGTAACAGAGCTCAGATATGGTGGCTGGCAGGATCCTCAGATGTGATCACTTTTCATCTAGCTGTGGTGGGGAGCACGGTGGGGTCAGTGTGGAGGTCTGCACAGTGCCCCTGCTCTCTGACCCCCACGGCTTGGCAGGCACCGCCAGAGGCCAAGTAGGAATTCGTGGCATGGAGTCTGGTGGGCTGCCTTAGTGTTTCAGCTTTCAAATACTCAATGAGGTCAGTTCAGGTGCCTACTACGGGCTGTCTCTCCCGGCGTTTCTGTGGGAACATAGCTGTGAACTGGGGTCCAGTCACCCACATACCATTTGGACCACGAGGGTCAGCATTGCACAGCCCAACAGCCCACCTCGGATGCCTTGGCAGCCACCTTCCTTCACTGTCTGCTGGGTCCCACGGTCTCACCAAGCTCTGCTTTGTTAGTTATTCTGCTTTGTTAGTTATTTAAACTCCTTCAGTTGTCCTCCAGGAGCCCAGGGGGTTTTACTGTGAGCTGGGGAAGCCTCCAGTCCTCCAGAAGCTGACAAGCAGGGACGGGGAATCAGGCATTCATAGCCCTTTCTTTATTCTGCAGGGATCAGAGTCCATATGCCAACGGCACTTTTAACAGATACATGAAACTTATTTTCATCTTTCTGTACAATAATAGCTTACTTTAAGCTTTTTTTGAAAAAGATTTACGTGTGTGTGTGTGTGTGTCTGTCTGTCTGTCCGTCTGTCTGTCTGTCTGTGCATTTGTGCATGCTGTATGTATGTCTGCACTAGTGGAGAGGCAGATTTGGGTCCAAGGCATCTGACAGTCACTCTCCACTCATGCTTTTGAGGCAGGGCCTCTCCTGGACCCAACCTCATGTTTTCCACACTTCTCCCCCTCCCTTGGAGCTGGGGTTAGGGGCGTGTGTGGGATGCCTGGTCTGTTAGGTGGCTGCAGGGATCTAAGCCCCAGTCCTCGTGATTGCACACAAGTGCCATTTCTCCAGCCCTAAGCTTTGTTAGTGTGAAAAATATTTAATAATGCAAGTTTCTCTTGATGCTCTTTGGAGATCTCATTTTGATACTGGCCAGTGCGTCTGTGTACCAGAAATACACTTGGGATTTATTTTGCCTGATGTGATTGCAAATTAACTAAGGCACGATTGGTTGTTTGAGGAGCTTGGGAGCCATATTAGCCCCTGCCTTCCGAATACTTGTCGTGGGGATTTGTGTTACTTACAGCCCTTGGATGCTGACGCTCCTCACTGTAAATTATTAACACTGCTGCTGTGTGGTCTTCCTGCTTATTCCTGCCCTTGGTGCCACAGTAGCTGAGATTAAATTCCATTTAAAAATGACTTTGAACAAATGCAGATCAGAACCGCAGTGGAATAGTAGTTAGCTGTGAGGACAGCTGCAAGGGGCCGTCACTAGTACTGTGGAGGTTGTGGGCCAACTAGACCCCTCTGAAGTCAGCACAGAGAGTGGGGCCGCTTGGAAAACAGTCTGACAGCTTGTTAAACGTGACGCAGCGTTACCATGTGACCCAGGAGTCCCACTTACAGTGCACAGCGAGAGCGGACAAACACTGCTTATCCGCAGCG